TTTACGTCATCCCAATATCAAAATCGTACAAAGAAATTCGAATCTTGGCATTACCAGTGATTCTGGAGTAGATGAATCTGAAGAGTGGATACTTATTCTCTTCAGAGGACAATTCGATAGCATTATCACAATCAGAGATAAATGCATTAAGTTGGTTCCTTTCTCCGGAAAAGAAATTAGGAATTAGACTACACAAGAAATCAAGGGGTATTTGGGATGGGTTGAAAACAGGTTGATCAAGTTTAGGCATTGTTCACAAAATGAGTTACCTATTACTACTACTTACAATATAAAGAAATTCTGATAAAGAGTTAAAACCCACCAACATGAAACGAATTACTTAAGAATTCTCCGGTTTCTTGTCGTTCAGAATGATCCTTCATCGACTGCGCCAAAATTTTAATATGTTATATTCGGTTCGTTCTTTATTTTTGTAAGTAATGAACAAGCACTTAAAACTATCACAAAACTAATATTAATAAACAAGAACTTATTACAGCTAGACTAAAAATCAAATGAACCAACGCCAAGCTGTGTAGCTTGCCTATATTACTTTGGTCTTTCGACAGTCAACTGTTTCGAATGTTCGAGCAAACACTTGCAAATAAAATAAAAGAAGGAGTCTTTAGAAGCTTCGCTTCTAAAGAAGAACAATTTGAGTTCGTCGCCAGTCTTTTGTTTATAAAAAGTTGAAAATGTGAATATTGAGTACGGGATCATAACAATATATATGACCCTCTCATGAATTTTTTATAACCGTTCATTTGCTTTAATCAAACACGTTCATCCGTTCGTTTGTTCTCTCTCTCTCTCTCTCTCACCCTTTTGAAAATACACATTTAGAAAATTGTTTATCATCCATTAATTTCTCTTTTCATTACTATTAATTTGATTAAGGGTAGTTTCCCGCTCTCCCCGATCAATTGGCTGCGGTACTAGTGACAATAAAAAACCGGAAATAGATTTTTGTATCTTACTTTTCACTCACCTTTATCAACCTCTCTCAAACGATCCTTAACCTTTTCCGAATCGTATGATAAATCATCTTTATCCTTATCGTCGGTGTCTGATACGATGGCATCGTCATCGTCATCCGTTTTGTTTTTCGGCTCCCACGTCATTTTATTTTCTTTTTTCAGTCTTCGCCTTGCGTTGGCAAACCACGTCGACACTTGAGTCAAAGTCATTTTCGTTATTATTGCCAACATAATTTTTTCACCTTTGGTCGGATACGGATTTTTTTTATGTTCGTTGAGCCATGCTTTCAATGTTGCCGTTGATTCCCGCGTTGCATTTTTACGTCTCGCCGCAAGATCGTAACCTGCGCTGTACCTATAAAAAAAATATAAATCGATCGATCGATGGATTTCGATATTTGTAATTAAATTATCATTTAATGAAACACGCATTTTTTTTTTTTTTAAATGTTAAATGTTAAAACGCAAACGGAACGTGTTTGAAATACGTGACGTGTAAACTT